TAGTTCTTTTCGTTTCTTTGACCGTTTACAGACACTCTCTCTCTCTCTTAAGGCCTCTTCTTCTTCACCACCCTCCCCTCTGTTTTCCATCAACTCAAACAGTGTCTTTCTCTCTCTCTCTCTCTGAAATGGCGAGTTTTACTTTGCTTTCCTATTCAATGTCTGACGCTCCAATGATCTCAGCTCCTGCGTATTCATCTTCTTCTTCTTCTTCTTCTTTGGGAGCTGGAGGCGAGGATGCTTTCGAAGACGACGCCTGCAGTATTTGCCTCGATCCTTTCACCCCCCAAGACCCTGCTACTGTATACCACTCCATCACTCTTTGTTTATTCATTTTTTTTTTGTTTTTAGGGAAATAAAAGGGAAGTTTATGTATCAGTTGGAATCAAATTTAGAAAGTAGTAAGTTTGTGGCACAATCATTTAATTATCATAATTTGTTTTCCTGGTAACATTGAGGTAAATTTTATGATCTCTAACCGCTTTCTTTTGGCACCATTTTCATTCGAAGAGAACTGTTGACGAGAAATAATTTCATTTTAATGCCTAAAGAAAATATGAGCTTTTCTTTTTCCTGAAAGCACTAAAGGATGGTCTTGGAATATATAAATTATTTTTTACAATCTCTTATCTGCATATATTTTCTTGGCCCTGTTTTATTTTTTTTTTTAATTTTTGCTACGGTTTCCATGAAAGATTGATGATATAATACCAATGCTAGAATTGATCTGAGGCAGTGGCGGAGTCACAAGGGGATTAAGGGTACCCCTTAATACTTTTTTTTTTAATATTTTTTATATTAAAATTTTAATATAATAATTTAACAATTTTTTTTACTAGTGCTTTGACGAGGGAATGGAAAGAAAACTTTGCTTCTAGACTTGGAAGGAAAGGAGAGGAGATGGGTAGGTGAGTGAGGTGATTCCCCTTCTTGGAAGTAATTTCAAGCTTCAATCGTAGGTTGAAGTCATAATTACGTGAAAGAAGATTTGGTGTAATTGTTAGGGTGGAGGGTCAAATTAAACAATCAAATGTTGCTTTGAAATTAATTTATTCCATTTATAACTTTAATTAAATCAAGAAAAATATGTTTTATAAACGGAAAAATGTAAATCATTATATTGGAAAAAAAGAAGAGAGTAGAACATTAGAACCTCAAGGAAAAAATGCAGTTCAAAAAAGCAAAAACCCCTGTTTTATAGATCGTTTGCTATTACAGTATAACCATATTTTTAAATTTTATTTTATTTTTAACTTTAAATTGTTTTTTTATTTTTTAAGATTTTTTAATATTAAAAATAAATTTTAAAAAATAAAAATAAAAAATTATTTTAATATATTTTTAAATAAAAAATATTTTAAAAAAATAACACCTATTATTCTCTCCAATAAATCATATCTGTATGTGTTAAAATACAAGTTTTCGATGTCTCTCTTTTTTTATTTTTTATCTATTCTTAATCAGTTTTCCTTGTAATTGAGAAAAAGAGGACCACGTCAAACCAATCAATAATTTATTTCATTTTTTTCTTGTCAAATTTATGCAACATATCAACATGATTGTCTGTGATGGATTGTTATATTTAGGGCTTAATTTACCTTTGGACATGTTTCTTGTCTCAGGACACCTGCTGCAAACATCAATATCATCTTCAATGTATTGTTGAATGGTAGGTAACAATCACCATAACATTGTTTTATAGGAATCCATGCCTTGCATTGGATTTTGATGCTATGACTGTCATTGATTTTACTTGTTTCTTGTTTAGGTCACAGAGAAGCAAAGAGTGCCCGATATGCTGGCAGCTTCTTGTACTGAAAGACCCTGCCAGGTATATGATTTCTCGTGAAAAGCCATCTATATCAATCTTTACCTCTATTGTCCAGTTTTGCGTTGATCAAAGGAACCTAATGGATTGCGGCTTCTGTTTGCGCACCTTTGTTTTTTATTCTGTTTTTCTAGCCAAGAGCTTCTAGCTGCTGTTGAGACTGAGAGGGTTGTCAGGCCAAGGAACTCTAACCCTGCATCCATGATCGTTCATCATTTGGATGAAGATTATGATGTAGAGCAGGTGATTATTTAGTCACTTTGAAACCATAACAGCAACTCTTCATTTCACTGCATAGCTGCCTCAAAAGTTTTTCTTTTTATTTATTGGGTGCTAATGGAAATTTTTAGGATTCCTATTCAGATGACTCTGATTTCGACGATCATGTTATGCAGCATCTATCTGCTTCTGCTGCCAGCAGAGCTCGTTATGTTTGCAAAAGGGAGAGGCATAGGTCTGCCGGACTTGGTCCCTCCCAGGTTCTTGTCTTGACCTCTCCTGAACATGTATCCACTGTTCAGCAAACATACACTTCACCAGAAGAAGGTCAAATTTTAAGTTATGGGTCATCAGTGATTAATTCATCAACTCCTGGCACACCATCAATTATAATTCAAAATTTGTCATCGGTGGCCCCTCCGGTTGTGAACCAAGTCTCCACCACTGCTGTCAATAGCCCTTTAAAACCCAGGTATTATTCTTTTAATTGCAACTTGTGATGCAGACATTGTTTGTCATCTGGCTAGGTGAATAGTTGAACCACGAGTTGAATGGGTCAGAACATGTGAGATTAGCTGAAAACAATAGGGAGAAAAATAAGAATGACCCTTCCAATGCAATGCCCTTCTTTTTTTCTTTATAGCCAACCTCCATTTTCCTCCCTCATTATCTTTTAACTGGTGGTATCATTGGATGAATGGCATTTCTTTAACAGAATTCTTCTGTGGTAGATTGATATGGCATGTTTCTTGTTGTCTGTAGCTGGACTCTCTCTCTCTCTCTCTCACGCACACACACACGTGCACGCGCGCGCATTCATGGGCATGCAGCTGCCACGCGCACACACACGTGCGCGCGCGCGCATTCATGGGCATGCAGCTGCACACATTATCTTTGTGTATCTTATTTTTTCAAATGCTCGCGATGCAGGATTCTCTTTAGACAGCCACCAACTGATACTCCCCAAGGGCAAGGGTCATCAGATATGTTATCTCTCTCAGAATCTATTAAATCTAAATGGTTTGCTGCTTCAGCCAGGTAGATAATCGCAGCTTGGTTCTTTGGGACTGATGTTTACATGTTCAATTTCTGCTGCTGAAGTGTGTGGATATCTTGCAACAGGTACAAGGAATCACTTTCAAAAGGTACCAGAGGTATGAAGGAAAAGCTACTTGCAAGGAATAATTCGGTTAAGGAGCTGAGCAAAGAAGTTCAAAGGGAGATGAGTGCAGGCATTGCTGGTGTTGCACGAATGATTGAGCGCATGGATCTTACTTCAAAACGCATGGGACCCTCCATGTCTGATTCTGGTTTTACTGGGGGAACTTCAAATTTCTCCTGGAAGGGGAAGGGTGTGGAACAGAACATCATTGCTCAGGCTTTGGCCAAAGAAAGTGAGGAAATTGCTCATGATACAAGTTTAGGTGCTTCCTCACATGCCTCTGCTACTGTCCCAGCCCAAGTGGAAATCTCCCATGCGCAGGTTTGGAAACCACTGAAGTTTTAACATATCCTCCATTGCCATAACAGATTGGTTCCAGTATGTTAAATCTGAAGTGTTGACGTTTAACAATATTTTTCCATGTCATTAAAATATTTATGCCAATTGATAATGATAAACGTGGAGACTAACCACCTATGCGCATATAGTATCAGAACATGTTAATCTGTGCCTTTTTCTTCTTCCCTCGTTTTACAGAGAGGTCATTGATAACATGGCGCTTGGACCTGGTAGCTTGACTCTGTTTGAACTTATCATCTAAGAAGGCATATGATGCAAGTGACGTGCTGTGAAGAAACCAAGTGCCTGTTGGTTTGCGTCCTGCATCGAATATTTATGCACAGCAACGCCCTGTTAATTAACCAAGAATGACTTGCTGTTCTGGGATACCTTTTCCTTTTGTCACAATAAACTGTTTGAAGAGTTTAAGATAGATTAATGTATGAATTCTTTTCATTATTTGCTTTTCAAGTAAAAAGAAACTTGATGTTCTTCCTCGCCATGCCTACTCCTGTTTAAGATAGATCATTTCCAGCTTAACGTTATGAAGTGCACTGTTTATGACATATGAGTAACGCTTTCGTAATGTCGTATTCTTTATATTGGTGAAGCGATGCCGATGAAATTTAGTCCGGGGCCAGAATTTGGGCGTTTGAAACAAAATGGCCGCCTCAATTTATTTTTTTTAGATTAACATGGGTGTTCGGATTAGTTTATGCACATCACGATTATTGATTAAAACTTATTTGCATTATTGGTGAATCCACTTTCCGGAAGATGGACCAATAATGCACCAATACTTATTTGCACCAATAACAGTTTTAACATATCCCATGCAATACTTTTTTTTAGATTAATATGGATATTTGGACCAGTTTATGCACACCACGATTAATTTCATAGGCTGTCCCATGCAATACTTATTTGCATTATTGGTGAATCCACTTTCCCAGAAGATGGACTCCGCACTACTCATCCATAGATATTGCATTATTGGTGAATCCACTTCTTTGCATTATTAGATCTTCACCGAACTTCGGTTCTTTAATTTATGTGCCTGACCTCTAACTTCGTTAGATGGATAATTGATGAATTAATACTAGATTCAATTTCTTGGTTCGAGAAATTTATTTTATACTTTATTGATTATTAATAATCACACTACAAGACATTTATAAAAATATAAATGACTATTTTATAAGAGAGATTGGTATGGAAAAGAGAGGGGGGGAAAAGAGCGCTGAAATTAAAAGAAAATCTTATCCGCAAAGTTAGGTGGCTTAATTAATTATACCAACCTACCTAGCTAATTAATTACGCTCATAAATTAAAGTAAATGCATTCGCAAACCTTCTGAATAAAAATACACACGCCTTGCGGGCCATTAATTTGTATTTTAAACTTGGGTTTAATAAATATGAATAATCTGCGAAATATTTATAATACCATAAAGAAAAAACAGAACATAATTGTTTTATTTATTTATGTATTGAGAAAACATATATAATTGTTTTATTGATTGATAATAACACGCAGATAGTATCGTATTTCTTTGGCAAACACATACATATATAACAGCGTACACGTACGACCACTCGCAGAACGAACAGAACCGCGAGAGCATGAGAGATGAATTAACCATTTATAATCGTACCCCCTGCATGCATTACACCAAACAAGTCTCATTAATTAATATTATAAGTTATATATGTGTGTGTGTGTGTGCGTGGTTAATAACGAATTAAATTGTTCTACATACCATTAGGATGAAGAACTTGGCCAGTCATGTAAGACGAGCACTGATTGGAAGCCAGGAAGACGTAAGAAGGTGCCATTTCGTAAGGCTGTCCTGCTCTTCTCATTGGCACGTCAGACCCCAAGTATTCTACCTCGTATGCAGGCAGAGATGCGGGTTGCAGTGGCGTCCAGATCGGACCTGGAGCCACACCATTGACACGAATTCCTTTATCCACAAGTCTTAGAGCCAATCCCCTAGTGAAGGAAACAATCGATCCCTTGGTAGACAAATAGTCAAGTAATTGGTGAGGGGAGCCAGCATAAGCAGTAACAGATGTTGTGTTGATTATACAACTTCCTTCTTTCATGTGCTTTAATGAATGCCTGCGTGTACCAATTGAAGAAATTATTAATGCAATTAGGAAGAAATAATTAGGTGCTAAAACTAGGTTCTGTTTAATTAGGGTTGTGATTTTTGACATGGTTGGAACTGTTAATTATTGGTGGTTCTTATTAAGAATTGATTGGAGATTATACTGTTACAATGTTTTTATATATGTTGAACATTCAATACGCATAACTTCGAAACTTTTGTTTTTATAGTATGGTCTAGTTCCTGGATTAAGAGAAAAGAAAAACCGAATACACAAGTAGTGACTGTTTCTCAGCACTTGTTTTCTTACTTGGTCATGAAGAAACAACCAAATATGTTGGTTCTGAACAGCCTCACCAGCCAGTCCTCAGTAATCTCTTCTACCAAGTTGGTATAATGCTGTACGCCAGCATTGTTGACCAAAATATCAATCCGCCCATATTTACTCGCAACTTGTTCGACAACCCTCTTGCAATCTTCTTCTGATGAAACATCAGTAGCTATGGCAATTGGATCATCTGCATCGCTTGACTTAGCCTTCAGTAGCATCTTTAGGGTGTCATCCTTGTCTCTGTCCTCAATGCCTTGTACATATGTAAAGGCCACAGTTGCACCCTCTAATGCAAAATGGTAGCATACAGATCTTCCTATCCCCGAATCCCCTCCAGTCACCAGAGCTACCTTTCCCTGACGTAGTATCAGCAGACATGTATAGTTGCTTCAGTACCATTATATATGCATTGAGATAATGAAGAGAAACACACACATATATATAAGTTATAAATATATGTAAGTGTGTGTGCTTGATCATATATATCTAAGAAAATTAAGAGAAAAGGAGAAGCAAAATAACAAAGCACGTACGTTGAGTTTTTCGGAAGGCTTGTAGTCAGGGTTTATGGCTAGCGGAAGTGGGCACATGACATATTCTTTACCTGGTTGCTGAGGTTGAGTCTGTGGTGGAAACTGAGGTTTTCTTTGTTCTTCCATTGTTGCTTGAAACTGTGTGAATTCTAGTAATTAAAACCAAGGTGGGCTTTGCTAAATATTGCTATTGCTTGCATGGAGATGGAGAGCAGGATCCCTGGAGGGCTCTCCCTTTATAAGGAAAATATTACTTGCAGTAGTAGATTAACACGTGCGTGAATTAATTGAAGGCCCTGCTAAATCTGCCAAGTGTCAAAAACCATTCCATCACCGATTGACTCAACGGTTCAAATTAAGAAAAACGATTTCGAACACGTAAGAGTGGAAATGGACTAGTGCACGTGGATGCCAAGGAAGAAAGGCACCCAGGATGTGCGCGTGGAAAATATTACATGATGTGGCGGTGTACCATATTCTCGCATGGACTCTCGTGAATTAATTGAAGGTGCTGCTGAATCTGCCAAGTGTCAAATGCATTTAGCAATTTCACTAATCGATGAGTTCCAGTGGTTCACGTTACCGCTGTTCTCATCTCGGGGACTGGTTGAGTAAGAAACGAAATTACACAGAACCACGTCATCTACCGATTGATTAGTAGGTTGAAATAAAGAAAAACAATTTCGAACACGTTAGAGTGAAAAGGACTAGTGGATGTGGATGCCACCACAGCAGGGGTATAAGTGCAATTTTTCCGCTATAAGCGAGACAAGATGGTGAAACCGAAAATGTTGACTTTTAGGTTTGTGCCCTCGTTGCTGACGGGTTCATGAGATTGGGATAGAGATAGATGCACTGCTGGAATTCTAATTGGGTCGATCACAGCCATAGGGGCTAACTCGAGTAAGATTTTTAGTGGGCAAAACTCAAAAGCTGGCCCAAATCAAATAATCGAAGCTGTTATCGAAGCTGTTTTGTTTTTATGTCTTAATAGTATTTTTTAAAAAATATTATTAAAATTATTTTTTAACCAGTTTATTGGATGATTATTTTTTAAAATATTTTTTTTGAAATATATTAAAATAATATATATTTTTTAATTTTTTAAAATTTATTTTTAATATTAACCTATCAAAACAATCTAAAATTATAAAATAATAATAATATTTTTAAAATATAAAAATAAATAGACGGTTAAACCAGCCATAACCACCCATTACCACCGAACCCACCGTCCTTCTACTAGATGCCAATTACTGATTAGAGGGACAACTCAACAAATTTAGACTTAATATTGATTATGAGATGAACGATTTGTAATCCTAAGATTGTTAATTATTGTCTGAAAATTTTTTTGGTCTTTCTATGTCAAGTCCATATATGAGGAGTAACATTGTCTGTAAGAGACTTTGAAAAAAGAAAAAAGAAAAAAACAATTTCTCCTTCGGTCCTGATCGTTTTCAAAATCAACCGTCCAAAAACACACAAAATAGTGTCTAAAACATAAGGATCCATTTTTAATTTTCTAATTTTATAAATAAAAAAAACTCAAATTTGAGATCTGAAATCCCAAACTCATAACAAGACGATGGTTGTTGTGGTGGTCATAACTGAGGAGGTGATGGTGGAGGAAATGGGGTGGAGGAGAAGAGTGTAACCAGTACTTGTTATGGATTTTGTGGTTTTTAACAGGTCAATTTCTTCGGGTTATAATGATTTTGATGGTGTTTTTCAATATTGTGAATGGGTTGAAGGAATGGGAGAGAAAGAAGTGAAGAATATTGGATAGAAAGATCATATTCTTAATTCTTTTGCCTTTTGTTGAGTTTCAAGAAATCTGAAGCGCGCTTGTTTTTTAAACCAGTTACAAATTAATGATAAGGGATCTAGTTTTGATATTTTATTTATTTATTAGATATAAACTTTGAGAGTAATATTTATGAATATTTATTAAAAAAATAATATATTAAATTAATGTATGAGATGCTCTTTCAAAATTTATCAAAGAGTGAATTTAGTTCTGATTGAAGTACAAGGTGATAGGAAAGTATTTTTGAAAAAAAAACTAATTATAAATCAAGGCAATTACATACCATCCAGGTATTTTGTAATTGTGACAAATATAACCATATATATAGAATAATTTTGAAACAGTGTAAATATGATTTTGTCCTCACCATAAAAATGATTAAGCCTACAATCAAGGGTAGAAATGTTTTTTTATATGATATATTTGTCATTATAAAATTTATTGGGGACAAAATGGTCTGAATATTTTTATTGTTATAGTGTAATGATTATTTTACACTCAAAAGCAAACACACATGATCTTTTGGTGAGGAGGTTTTTTGTCCTTTAAAAAAAAATAAAGAGTAGAGTTACAGTCATGCTCTTGAATAAAAAGGGCTTGGCCTAGCGGTGGAAGGGGCTTGTCTCCTTCCACTGCACCTGGGTTCGAGCCCTAGCATGCACGCCTGTCATTCCCGCGGTGCCTTACATACCTACTGGGTTTGCAGGATATTCAGTGGGCCGTGGAGATTAGTCGTGGTGCGCGCAAGCTGGCCCGGACACCCCACGTAAATCAAAAAAAAAAAATAATAAGCTTTTTCATTTTTTTTATAAAAAAATGTAAAATAAAAAAATTAGATTTGATATTCAAAAAATAAAGGCTATTTATAATTGGCTCTACGACGTGGGTGTTTTTATTAGTTTTTATTGCACTTTGATTTTTTCATTATTTATTAGATCATCTTTAAAAATTAATTTTTTAATTCATCAAGTGACCCCAAGCTAATTCAAGTCTTTTTCTTTGGTGTTTTGTTTTTTGAAAAATAAATTTCATCTTTAATATTTTTTTTTTTTGCCAGATCACATGTTTTAGTTAATTTAACCTAAATTATATCGCTTCACCTGATGTAAAGCATAAACCTACCTATCTAGTCTCCTTTTCTAAGGTGAAAGCATAAAGGAATGTAAGGATCCATTCATATGCTTTCCAATCCTTTCGAATCGGTGTCTATTTTTTACCCGATTCGGTCTTTTTTACTCTTCGTCCATCTGAAAATCCTTTTTCCTCTCAATCTTTATGCAATCCTGAAAATTTTCGAACCAGAACAATGGCTTTATAGTCTCCAGCCTTTTTAACTTCTTAACAGAAGCGTATACATTAAGACGCTCGTTTTTTGACGAGAAAAGCTGTCAGGTGTTTAATTATCGAAGTGCCTATCAAAATTCCCAAGGTTAGTGAGACGAGCCACATGGATAATTTCAACCATTGATGCACCTCCTGCGGAATAATCCTCCTAAAAAATCATACAATCTTAGAAATGCAGTGTTTTTTCATTACAAAATAAGGACACCAAAATCTCATCAAAATTTCTGAAAACATTCTCCTACTGACCATTGATACAAACCAAAGCTAAAAACTGGTGAAATATAACCAATTTACACCATTGTTCTAAGCAATGCTGATGTTCGCTACCTGCTCCATTCATAATCTCCCCCATATCTTGGACTGGCATTGTTTCCACGGCTACTGTCATCTGGTTTTATGGAATTTGCATAGGCATGCCAGCCCAGGAGGTATGGCAAGATATACTGCAAGAGACATGAAGTACATCAGAAACAACATGATTGGAAGAATGAATAAAACAAAATGTTCACTCCATACAAACCCAATTTTGTAATTTTGATCAGGAATTTACTCGTCCCCTTATTTCACATTTGGTTAAATTCCAAGAAGCAAATTCTTTTTTTAAGGATTTACTATTTGTTAGACAAGATTCAAATGCATTTGGTGTTGATAATATGCCAGCCATCATGTTCTCTATTTGACATTTTCTGGAAACAAAATGGGAAGACTTAAAACAATAGACCCAAGTACATAATACTTTGGACACCCAATTGAAAAACACTTTAGTTTGGAACTATATTTGAAAGCAGTTTCACATATGGGGACTATTTTGAGGGTTACCCTTTTAGATTTTGCACATCATCTTGCTACTCTACGGACCCTCCAGAGGCTGCTAGATAGCAAAATTCATAATGTTGGGCAGGTGGTATAGCTAATTCTATCGCATTAATTCAGCACGATCCCTCAATTTTCTGATGCTTGCAACTGAGTGTGTATGTGTGTGTGTGTGTGTGAGTGAGAGAGAGAGAGAGAGAGATGGCATACATTAAAAGCAGAGGTGAGGACAGTGTACTCTGCCTTGGTCACTGGAATGTATATGTTCTCATCTATATTCAAAACTTTGTTTTGAACACCTGCACAAGAACGAGATCCATGACAATGTTGGATTAATTTGCCTTCAAAATGTCAATGAGCCACAATTACATTCTCAACCATCCAATTACCATTTGCGCATGAGAATTTTATTTACCATCTGCGCATGAGAACTTTATTTTTGTTCCAACTCCAATGACAGAATTGAATGTGTATGCAAAGCAGCACTTCAATGTAATACCACCACAAAACACAATTGTGGAATTCAAAGTAAACGCAAGACTGGTAAAAATGATCTATCAGGACAATCTGCACCCCAAAATTTCAACCATACATCACATATGGATTGAATACTAATACTAGTTGACATTTTTTTTTATTTTTTTGCAGATATGATGGTAGACATATTTGAAACATTATCAGGGTGGTGAACAAGCAAGAACTTGGATGAAAAAAGATGTAATCTTAATATGATAGGTCCTCTGGATGTGAACCAAGAATTGCTCCATTATAACCACATAAATCATGTTTTTGGATTCAGTACCAAGAGTTCAAGGGAAAGAGAATTACTGAGGTTAAAGAAGTGACCAGAACCATCTGGAAGTGGTTCTACCTTCAACAACTTCCTGACCTTACCTTCATCACTGCAAATATCAACAGTTTTGTTTCATTTTACAAGCTCGTTAAAACACTAAGGCTATATAACTTGCAAGAATCCATGGTAAAAAACAAGCATCCCTGCAATCTATACCGAGCTGAATGATAAATGCACATGTATCGATAGGCAAACAAGATGGAAACATGGCAATTATGTGGCTCAATACAGTTCTTAAGGGACATAAAACCAGTCTTGAATTCTGAGTATCTTATAGCATCATGACATACTACAGCTTTCAGTTACAGTCAAATATGAGAGTAGAAACATACATTGTATACTGTTAGTTGAAGAAATTATCGCTCATCAAGTATAATCACCTGATGACCGCAGGAAGATGGAATCACAAAAAAAAGATTTTCATTTATTCTTCGTTGAAAAACTCATTTCAGATTGCAACAGATGAAGTGGAGTGGAGTCATATATTCAAGACAATGAGAACAAAAAGCATTAAAGCAGGACATGGCCAGCTGATTAAGGTTATATATTCCGTATCAGCAATCATTGTGAGAACACAAGATTACAAAGAAGAAATTAGAATGCAGAAAGAGCATGCAAAGAAGTTCAAAATGTTTAACTCTTGTCCACATGAAAAAATAGAGAGTACCTTTTTCCCTTATTAGGATCATGGAAAAATTCACATGAACCTTTTGCGTCAAGGCTTACAAGATGCCCAATTTCTGTCACTGACAACGAAAATACCTACAAGATGCCCAATTTCTGTCACCCACATTGAAAATTCATCATAAATCAAACATTAAAGGATAATTGTGATGGAGGAAACATGTCAAACACAGGAATACTTTTTATTTTCTCTCAATCATATCAAAGGCCTGCTTCTCCAATTTATGCTTGAGAGTTTAGCACGTGTCTACCAAAGGTGGTTAAGGCCCTGCTTTCTCACGTACACACACATTTAAGAAATTTAGGCGCCGTTTGAGAACACGCCTAAATTGCATTTCACAAAAATTTGAATTTTTTTAAAAAAAATTAATTATTATTTTTGTTTTTGAATTGTTTTGATGTCAAAAAATATTTTTAAAAAATAAAATAAAAATTATTTTAATACATTTCCGAAAAAAAGCAACTGTAAAACATTCTCAAACTAACACCATGATCGGCAATGAACGGAACAAGCCTGATCTTAAGTTGGAAGATTTTTTTTATTTTTTTGAGAATTAAGTGGTCAAGTATGTCAAGGAAAACTATTGGAAATTGAAACGGTAATTTAATTCGGGAACAGGCTTAGGTTAATTGTAGGTTACCTGCTTTCTGGTCCAGTCATATTGACGAACAGAAGCTGCAGGAGCAAACTGCAATAGCACGAAGCCTTCCTTGACCAGTTTATATGCCCCTGACTGCCATATATTAATTTTAAAACATAAAGAGAAGAGAAAAAAGAAAGAAAGAAACAAAACGAAAGTTTGAGGAGAAGAGCAGCGGGCTTACATCTAATGGGGAAAACTCTGGGGACCGAGGCTCTACAGTAAGAGCAGCCTTCCCTTTGTATATCGAATGGCCCACGAAAACCTTAGGCGGTGATTCTCCAACTGTGTGTGTGTATATAAAAATATATAACAATAATAGTGATAAATAAATTATAAACCTTAACGGCGATTCCAATCCAACTAATCAAAAGTGAAATACGGATAAATAAAAACTACCTGGAGGAGCAGAGGAAGGAGAGGGGCGTGACGGAGTTGTGAAGGTCTTGTGCTGCTGGTCGTAGTACTGGCACTTCACTCCCAAAGTTTTCTTCTTCTCGGTGCTTGAAGTTTTACTGTTCAATGAGATACTTTTTGGTAAGCAGAGACTGTTATACTGGGGAAGCCATAGTTTAGGGTTTTGAGGGGAACTACTCACCCGGCTCACACTGTTTAGCTGCAACATTTTCCCTCTTCCCTTTTCTTTGTTGAGCCAGAGACATTGTTTAGCTGCAACATTTTCCCTCTTTCTTCCCTTTTCTTTGTTGAGCCAGAGACCGAGAGGAAGGAGGGATTGGATAGATCAAGTATACTAACAGATAGGTTGATACTCCCATCCATGGGCCATGAGCCCATTCCTATCCCCCTTGAAACGCAGTTTTTCTCGTCGTTTTATTGAATGCCATCATGCACTGTTTTTCTTGTGACACGTTTTTTTTTCCTAGCGTGTCTCATAGTAACCATACATGACCCAAACAAGTCCCCCCCTTTCACCTATTGTTTCGTCTTTGATTTCCTGTAAGTCTGTGTATTGCTCAGATGAGATAAAGGTCACCTGTTTTTTTCAAAAAAAAATTATAGATATTTAAATTAACTTATATATATTTTAATTAATTTTTTAAAATTTTAAAATTAAATATTATATAAATTTTTAACGATCGTAAAAATTATAATAATTAAATTAATGACCTTTAAAAAATATGATCAAAATCTAATAAATTAAAGATTAACATGTACTTATTTTTTGATATTAAAGTAATAATGTAAAAGGTAAAATATTAGCTTAGAAGTCAACTTAATTAACTAATTTTAAATTTAAGTCACAGAAATTTTATATCTTTCAAAATATCCATTAACTTAAATTTTTATATTTTTAAAATTAACAATTAACACAAATTAATCTGAATTATATGATGATGGTAAAAAGAATATATTATACATGTTTGCATAGTTACGGTAAACCTACTTTGCGATGGGGAGAGAGGTAATGAGTCATGCAATGGATGCAGGGGTGTTTAATGATAAAAAGAAAAAGAGGAGTTTGTAGTTAGGAAAAAGAAAAATATGAAAAGAAAGAGAAAAATTAGGTTTAAATATTATAATTTACATATCACACATACATGTTTTATATTATGTTTTTTAATTTTAAAAACTATACATTAATTGGTCAGATTTTAAATTTATTTTTTAATGATCCTTTAAGTTTTATAAATTTTAAAATTATTAAAAATTTATATAATTATTAATTTTATATGTTATGTGATTATTGAAGATACATATAAGTTGATTAGGATATATATATATTATTTTCTATTTTTCTTACTGTTCTGGAAATCTCCTTTACTTTGATCTATTGAAAGCTGGGCTACTTTGCAGGCTATAACTGTAATGAGTGGAGAAGGCCCATTATTAATACACGATGCCTTATTTTGCTCTATTGTTTCACCGCAAGGACATGCACGGACTCTCCTGCTCTCATTTCCCGCTCCTCCTCCCCATCATCATCAAACAATCACAACTCCTTGCCCAGATAAACCCCTCCTTAGCCACGGACTCTCTCCGCCCTTTCTTTACCTTTCTGTGATGTCATTGATTGTTTTTATTTGGTTCTGGTTTTGGAATAATTAAAGGCAGCTGGGTTATGATCCTTCAGGGAACTTGCTTGGACTCGAGGTCGATCCAAAGTCAAGGTCATTCCCAACTGCATCGCTTTTATGTAGTCTATTATTTGTTGATTTCTTCCTATTTTTTTTTAATTCATCTAAAATATTGATCAGAAATGTTATCTTCTCCGATTCACCTAAACCAAGGTCTTGGTTTGGTCCAAATGGTCAGTACAACAGAGAGCTTCCTCGCCCGAGGTGCAGGGAACGAGGTTACAATCATGTTCTGACTGGGGAAGTGACAAATGTAGATTAATATTAAAATATTGTTATTGTGATATATAATATTTTTTTATATTTATTTTGAGTATTTATATTAAAAAATTTAAATGTATTTTCATCTCAATGCAGATATATTTTTAGAAAGCATAAAAAAATAAAAGTTACCAGATTCTCAAATAAATATTAAAAACACGGATAAAATTGGAGAGATGAAATGGTGACCGCACCTTGTCCCTCTTTCTTGGGTGCACTCGTGCATAAAATTGAGCCCGCAGGTGCAATTATACACTCGAGTAGTTTTTAATATTCTGGACAAAAAGTTACCTGCTTCCACGAATGGTTAATTTTTAGACAAACTCATAAAAGTCCCCAACCTTCAAGATTAGTCTAGTTTAGGTCCCCAGACTATTTTTTCCTCTCGACCAGGTTCTCAACTTATCGATTAATTTTTAAACACATTCTTCCATTATTTTTAGTCAACAAAACTATCAAGTAATCACATAAAGTTAAGATGATTTTTCTCTTCCCATAAAAAAAAATTCTCTAATATCCTTGATTTTTATATTTTTTTTTATTAATATGATTGTTCGGGTAACAATTAATTTCTAAACACATTCTTCCATTATTTTTAGTGAACAAAACTATCAAGTAATCACATTGATTTTTCTCTTCCCATAAAAAAAAAATTTCTCTAATATCTTGATTTTAATATTTTTTTATTAATATGATTGTTCGGGTAAACTTGCATATACTTTAACTAATCTCAGGAATCCTTAATCTTAATAGCACATGTTTATAGATGAGACCATATAAAGAAATATATATATATATATATATATTATGGTCTATTCAATATGATGTGAGAGGTTTTAGTAAATTCATGGTTTTCCAATAAAAATAAAGAGAATTTTTCAGGTGAATATTTAACTATTTTGTTAAACTAAACTTATAAGAAGAATCTAATTGAGAAACTGATACCTGGGAACTTAATCGAGATAAAATCAGGGATCTAATTGAGATTACCCCAGTAGCATGGGGACTTGTTTCATTTTGGAGGTTTGCTTCTTTTTTTTTTTTTTCTATTAGCAGTATTTGTTTTGTTCCCATTAGGCCACATATATGGACTGTACGGACCAGTGAGGTCGGTCAAAACTCAAAAAGGCCAATGAAGCAAATCCGGCCCAACTAATCCTAAAGGTGACGCCGGCCCAGTAAAACATACTTGTGGCACACTGATCAACAACTCTACTGATCCTCCCTAAACAAAAAGTTTCTCTCTGTCTAGGGTTCCTGATTTACCGGACGTAGCCATGGCTATGCAAGCAGGAGTCAGCGTCTCTAGGATCCTCATCCTCGCCGGAGCAGGTATTAACTATTATTAATCGCTGATCAGTCATGTATACTTGCACAGATGTATTTGTCTGACCTTTGCTTGCTGTGTTGTTTACAAGGATATACCGGTACGATTATGCTCAAAAACGGTAAATTATCAGAATTATTGGGTGAACTTCAGGTAATTTGTTATTGCATTATTATTATTATTAGTAATTTAAAGAATACCTAGTTTCTCTCTGTTTTGATATGATAGTTTGCAGCTTAGTTAAATTTACCCTTGTATGTGTTAGCTGAAAATTAGTGGAGATTTATATATTTTTTCTTATTTGAAATAAAATAAAAGTTGATTTCTATGTAAATTCTGGTAACTAAATGTGTAATTGTGTTTGATAGTCCTTGACGAAGGGAAAATCTGGGGAACAATCTGATGGTGATTCTGACTACTCTGATGCCATAGCCCAACAGGTAATAAGGATTTCCAGTTTAATTTAAATAGTGAATTATATAATATTACACCTCATGTAGTTGTAACTAATTTTCTGTTTTGAAATTCCCTACAGGTGCGTCGGTTAGCAATGGAAGTTCGACAACTGGCCTCTGCACGGCAAATAACAGTTCTCAATGGGAATTCTGGCCAAATGGGTATCCTCTACTGTATTTTATATTTAATGGAAATTTGAACAATCTTTTCTTTTTCCCTTTTCCTTTCAGTACATAACCAGCATCAGGTTATTTTTTTACTGGCTTGCAAAATGTTGTGTTTTAGGCTTTTGGTACTAGTGATGAACTATTATTTTGATTATTTCATATGGTAGTTTACTTTCTCATCAGATTTTAATTCCTCCTGCCTGGTACAGGTAACCTCACTGGTCTTATAGCTCCGGCTGCCACCTTGGGGGCGTTGGGTTATGGTTACATGTGGTGGAAGGTATCTACTTAAATACCATTGCATTATCTTGTGTTTTCTTGTATCAAAACATCTTTTCATATGCTCAAAACTCTTATTTTTATTATTTATCGTATTTAGTTTTATGTAGGCCTACGGTGAAGTTAGGTGCTTTCAGGATGCTAATGTTTTTTCCTTGTTGACAACTAGGGTCTAAAATTCTCAGATTTTATGTATGTAACAAAGCGTAGCATGGCAAGTGCTGTTTCAAACTTGACAAAACATTTGGAGCAAGTATCCGAGGCTCTGTCTGTAAGTGCTGCTTCATTGATGATTTTGTTTTTGAGGGGTGGGGGCTAGGATGTGGATAATGTGAAAAAGTAGATCACATTGTGCTTCCATTAAGTTATAAATGTGCCAATCCATGTTGAAGAATATAAGTAATATGCAACCAGCCAATTGTTGTAGGTGATGAACTTTATTTGCTGTCGATTTTTCCACTGACTAGTTTCCCACCGTGTTTGTGTGGGCAATCTGCTATTCTCTATTTCTAAGTTTTTTTCCTCTCTTTTTTCTTCTCGATTGGTTGCATGAATTGTTGTTGATAATGATCGTGTAAAAGCTGATAGATATTTCTTGTATTGTGCTATCAGATTAGGCTGCATTTTTAGCAGAATTTTGCATTCCATTGAATTTTTTTGTGTGGATGCAATGGATTCATTTAATTAATAAGCTTGTTTCTTGTTGGAGGAAGGCTTTCCTGGTTTTTTGTTTTGTTTTATTTAATGCTAATGTAGAATCATGATAAGTTAGTTTTTAGTAGATAAAATTTTATGAATATTTTTTTGGAAAGGATATTTACACCTCCTAGTAATTAGAAAAGCTTCAATTAGAATTCATACTTCCTAGCAATTGAGAAAGCATGGTTGTCAACCCTCCTAATCATCAGCCAAGTCACCATGCCTTGCTCCACCTAATTGATAGATTTGTATTTTGTACATGTAAGTAGAACACTTGTCAATACTAGATGTTGGTGCTTCCATTTTATTATATTATTATGATATGATTATGATTATGATTATGGATCTCATATTTGGTACCCGCCCCTTTTTTCTTCTTTACAGAGTCTGACATGTGAGACTATAGGGTGAACTCTTCTGAAACTAATTCAAAACATAGCAATCCTTGATTTTATTATGTTGGCATGTCAAGTTATGAGTTGATTATTCTTTTGGCTGGCTGGCTGACATTGTCATGATTTCCATTTATGCTGTTGTGTTTATGTATATATTCTTTTGCTAGACTGCCAAGACGCATTTAACACAGAGAATACAACTTTTGGATGATAAAATGGAGAGTCAAAAGGAGATCTCAAAGGCAATTCAAAATGACGTAAGAAAATATGTCTCTCTTTGCCCCAGCACCTTAATTTGTGAATGAAGGACCAGGTTTATTTGTTTTGATAGACCTCATCATCAAATGTGTGATGCTTAGTTTTGGGGAACTGTATGAAACTGCATATAGAAGCATTTAAATGCAATAATTGAAACCCTGATTCTGGCTATCTTTCTTGTTAATTGATATACCTGTTGAAGGATTTGATTTCACTGAAATTGTTTTTCAAGCAGTAAACTTTATTTTATGCACATCTTATGTGCTGAAAGCCTAGTTGCATGTGAACGTTTTTTTGTTAATAAATAACCTAGTGTGATATATCAGCTCATTTAGCTGTTATTTAGAACTTATTATATCTTCCTTAATTGAAAATACAGCCTCACTTTCGACTGATTTCTATGATGTTATAGGTAATATAAGGTAATTGCAGAGCAGTCCCTTGCAATCCAAATATTATCTGTGATATGATCCTAATGTGTCTTTTTTACACAGGTCAATGCTGCCTCTGAAAATCTTACACAAATTGGTTCTGAGCTATGGCAGTTGCAGTGTTTAGTATCTGGTTTGGTAGGGTTTGCCTAATGATAATTCCTCATTTTTTTGGCTTTGCTAGCTCTGACTTTCTTTGTCAATATATATCTCATGTTCTCAAACTCATGTATCTGCACACAACCCTATTCATCCGATTGAAGCACCAAAAACACTGACAACGTGCTTTATGAAACCACGTTATTTGTTCCATTTCCATTTGAAATAGGAAAAGAAGAAAAAAAGTTCAATAATAATGAAGGGTTGAAATGGCTCAATTTTTTATTGTAATTGGGTATGTTTGTCTTTGTTTCTCTGTCCCTTCTCTGAATTCATTACAATCTGTTCTTTTTGCAGGATGGAAAGATAGGTTCATTGGAGGAGAAACAGGTGAACCAACACTTAAACATAAACATTTTTTCAATTTAAATTGAAAATCATATCTAATTCTATATATCCATGTGTTGCTGGCATTTCTATAACATGCTGAGGTTCGCTGAACATCTTTCCCCATGAAAAGTTTGCATTATCTGGTTTATTTATCTATTTTTCTTTGGAGTCGCAAGAATATTAATTGTTAAGTACATGCATCATAGATTGGACACGTTTTGTGTCGAAGATGTTTGAATGAATGTTTCTTATGTTGAAGTGCACCGTAAATCATAAACACTGAATATTTTTGTGTGATATTCTTCATGTTTGCTCAAGGAATTGAAAAATGTATTTTGAGCATCTGTGATGCCTTTAATAATTGGAATGATGTTTACATGCCATTGAAACTCTTGGTGGATGAACAAACCTTTTCTTGTTCCAAAATCTTGTTAAGAGTTGAAAAGTAATAATCCATGAGTTGTGGGTGCTCTGATAGTCAGATGAGTCTTTGAATTTTCTTTTGCTATGGTTTTTCATTGTGTGTGTTTGTTACTTAATTTTGAGGCCAGCTAAAAGCTGGGAGCATTCTCTTAACCTCTTTATTCGTTTATTAAATAGATTGATTGTAGTTGCTTATGATAAAATGGTTGCTTCGTAAGCAGGCATAGTGAGATAACTCACCAGTGTTTTATGCCTTGAAATTGCATAAATGGGCAGTTCTTGTTGTCTGAGCTCCTGTTTGTATTATTAATGTACTCTGATTCAATTGTATGGTGACAGGATATTGCAAATATGGGTGTGATGTACCTGTGCAACTTTGTTGGTGGCAAAAAAGCAAAAATGCCTAAAGCTCTAGAGGTTGGAAATAGTATTTAATGCATTTGGTTATTTTTTAATTCTATGCATCTGATTTTTACATTAGAAGTGGTTAATGGGCATTGTAAACAAATCATATCGCCTGATTGAATTAGCACATTGTAAAATTTCTCTCACCACCATCCAGAAGTGGAGGTTTTGGACAAGGGAAGGCAGTATTACTTTTCATTTTCCTGTCTTGTCAAACCTTCAACTACCTAAGTCTAGTTTTATATGACAACTTCAGCTTTCTGTATCTTGCAGGATCAGTTCAAACCTTCAGGAAGAACTCGTGCTTCACTCATGTACTCTGAAGTCCCAAGTTTGACGGTATGTTTCTTATTTAATGAATTGAATTTAAATTTCCGTGTCTTTGTTCTCCCTTATTTGCACACAAGTGTACCAATACCCTGATATAGATTAGCTGAAGTTAGTTATGCAGCTTAGCTGCAGATTTACAGTTTGATCCTTCAGCCCCTACATGCTAACTGGCCTGGGCACTGTCATTTTAATACTTAATCATGTCCCTCTAAGCCACACTTGAATCCCAGAAAAGAGAGCAAACAAATGTAAAATGTATGTTGCATGCTTTGAACCAGCCCATTTCTGCTTTCTGGTCTGTTGGCACTGCTTATTTAAGGTAACAGGAAATCTTTATGCTTGAAACATTGAGGATTTGGGCTGAGAATTTTAGGTGAAAATAAAAATGCATTTTGTTCACTGAGTATAGTCTAGACTAGAACTCGATGCCTACGCATTTTGTTCACTGAGTATAGTCTGGACTAGAACTTGATGCCTCTCTCAATCCTGACAGGGTCTAAAGGAGCTTGCAGACGATATATCTCAAACCTTCGGTGAGCCAGCCACTGATGCTATTCTGCAAGATGGAACCGATAATCTGGAAGACCAGCTAAGAATCCCACGTATTGATCAACCGAGAGCTCTGCTCAGGTTCTTTTCCCAACTTTTTCAAGTTTTAAATGCTAATAATCTGCTAGAGTAGCTTGTGCATGTGCATAGACAGTATATTGGGATGGATTTCTTTGTTGCAGGCAGAACAATAAGTTATTTACTGTTATTTTTCATAGTAATCTGAAAGGAAAAACAAGAATGATCATATTTTGTGCTCTCTAACAACTAGTGAGAAACTTTTTGGGTGGGTCTGTTTCCACACCTCCAAAATCTAAATTTACGAAAACACCATTAATAAGGTGTTTGTAAGGGGAATAATTAATTGAATTTTATATAAATTTGCCAATTCCCATGATATCTATACAGTTTGAATTGCACCCAAATGGGTGCAGTTGTTGAAGAATTGGATGTTACAAATTGAATCGCACCTAGACTTTTGTTACGTTCTTCCCTCCCTCTGCTTTCTTCTTACCTGTTGTGATGGGGACGCAGCTCCTCATTTTTTTCTCCGCTCTTTAAGGGATTTTAGTCTAACAACTACTATGAGATTAGGCATTTTTTTAGAAATATTTTTAAATTTCGAATATCTGTTTCCCTGAATCTCCCATCTGGTGACCAATATTGCTGGAGTTATAGTGTTTGACTGCACTGCTTTGCCCCTTTGGTGGGTTTTTGCATATGAAGGACTAAAGAAATGAACTTAATGGTGAGGCTTTAGCTTGGTGATTAAAAATAAAGGTGTTATTGCTGGCGGCTTCAGAACTCTGGTGTTAGAAAATTTACTTTTGAATCTTTTTTTCCCATATTTTTTTAACCCTACACCTTTGAATTAATTGATGATGATCTCAGTCTCTTTTCGAATTGTTCTGGTGTTACTGGTGGGTAATTAATCTGCCTTTTTGCATAAAGGGGGGATTAATTTGGCTATTTGTAGAAAGGGATGAAGGAGGAGTGACCCCAGGAGAGGATAGGGAGTGTTTGGATGCTTAGCTGGAAAGAATGTAAAGAAATAAATGTGGGTCTCATTATTATTTTTTCTTGGATTAGATTTTGGTGGCGTGGAGATAGAATTACCCAAACTTTATTGGTGGAAAAACTTTCCTTGTACCAAATCCGTGTTTTGGTTCTGAAGTCGTCGACCCATATACCTCATATCATAACTTAGTAGCATATACCCTGTTTCCTTATTATGTTAACGGACTATGGTGGTTGGTGATTAAGCTTGGGGTTATGTCTCACTCACTGAGCTGGTGCTTTCTGGTAGGAAAGGTGGTGATAAAGCTTCTGGGTTGTGCTTCATCTTGTTGCTCATAATTTTGTGTTTCTCTGAAATATAATGTTGAAATGCCATGCCCCTTCTTTCTTCTTGACGTGCAATTCTGTTGCTTACAGTTTTGTTCTGCACGGTTTGCCATTTGCAGGTTTAATTCTGCCAGGTGTTGATTGCAATATCCTTGACACGACACCTAGCTGCATCTTTGCAACATGCTCGTTGATTATTTATGTACAAATTAGGACATTTTCCACTACACCGAGCAACTTGATCACTCAAATGATGGTTGATTTCTCATGGTAGATTCCCTCTGTAGGTTTCTATTCGACAATATACTTTGCTCTGCTTTGGAAATTTAATAAACAAAAGCAGTCTGTTTAAAGTACAATGTGTGTTATGGAAACAACCCGAAGGCATGTAAAGTATGGAATTTTTGTAGTGACTTGTAAAATAGGCTTGTTATGAGAATGGTTTACGCCCTTGCGTGCCTGTTTGGGACATGAGAATTTTATGTTTCCTCAGAAAGTAAAAATGCGAAAGTATTTGTTGTTGTTCTCAAGCGTATTTGACATTCCAGGGATGTGTGATTATCTCCGTTAGTTCTTGTCCGTTTCCACTACTTTAAGCTGCTAAAAATAAGTCCAACAACCTTGTTTTATTTGTTTCAGCCGAGCCCTTTAATTCCTAACATTAAAAATTGATCAGATTTAGATTCCTTGGGCTTCAAATTTGAATTTGTAATTGTATTCTTGGTTTTGCTCAACCGTGAATAGCTTTTTTAGGTGCCATGGACTCTACTTTTCTTTAATGAATTTTTTTCTTGGTTTTTATTAGTTTATGTGTCCTTGTTCACTAGAATTGATTATGAAGAATTTATTATTTTCACATGAGCATCGGAGGAGATGGCATCTATCATTGATTTATTTTCAAGTGCAATTTATGGTACATATTAATAGATTAGTTCAGATGTATTGCCACCATGCAAGGATGAGACAGAAGGATGCTGGAATCTTCAGTTATGGGAAACGAAAAGGCATGCTCATCGCTTCATTCCAAAGAGATCGCTTCATTATATTGGATGGTGGCAATGTACATGTCTCTCCTCCCTGCTCTAAGCACGGCAATGAATCGTCATATGAAGTGCCCATGTGAGGTATGAAGCTGAATCCGTCGTGGAAAGCCTCCCCAGTAATGTTGTTGCCTATATGTCAAAGGTTTATCGAATCATTTTCTTCGCAAGTTCTGCTCCACAAGCTCTATAAATATTGAAGATTTAAGGAGGAGGCTAAGCGCGGTTGGGGAAGATGACTTGGTGAGAAGCCTAACGGGAAGTTTCTTCCTTTGGAAAATGACCTCATGTTTAGGGGTGTTTAAACTATTCATTAAAGAAGGGTCCATCTGGGGAATGGATAGCTGGTTTGGTTTCCCTCTAGGAAAGTGGGTGGAGAAGGTTGTCATTGGCAGGGGCTCTGAAGTTGGTTTTGATTCTTGAGGTGCATTGGCAGGGCCTCTGAACTCCATAAACGTAAATATAGAATTAAAAAAGTATAAGATTACTAAGAAGGATGACATATTATATTTTATTTCCTCTTTTATGAAACTCTGTGTGAATGTGTAGCACCAAATTGTCTCGCTATTCATTAACAGCATAACAATGTGCTATTAATGAATCATTTTCCTTGAAATTATCACAAGGATCGTTCTCAAGTTTAACAGCACTTTTTAACCCTTAATTTAGCTGCTGGAAATGATCAGAAATGCATTGAATTTAAGCTAAATGTCCTGGTTTAAATACCCTAGATTAAATTTCTGGTCCACAGTTTGGATTTAGGGATGATCAGCTGATAATTTTAATAAACATATGCAGTGTTGAAATTCTTGGAGGGATGATGGATTTAATTTTAATATATTAAGCCTAGCTCGGACAAAAGGTGAATTGGGCTTTACTCACTGTAAAGCTTCCAAATTGCCTTTTAGATTTTTGTTTTCTTAACGCGTTCTCTTCACTTGTTTTCTCCTTCTTTTGGCCTGTTCATTCATGGGATTCTTCCTCAGAGTTGCAATGTTTTCCGTTGAAATTAGAATTTTTCAAATATTTTTAAATTATTTTAATATACTAATATCAAAAATAAATTTTAAAAAATAACAATTACAATATTCTGGCACCTTTATATTTTATAAGTGCTCGTGTTTATTTTATGAGTCCATGGCTAAATTTGGAAAATTGGTTTCTTAATTGACGGCGGTGTTTTTCATGGAATCTAACTTCATTTAATACTAATATATTTTATGGATAGTTTAGGTTTTATCGGGTTCGGGTATAATTAAATAATAAAAATAAAGTCGGGTTTTCAGGGGTAAAAGAAACTGGTCTCCCCGACCTCAAATTCAACCCACACTCAGCTCGAAATTTATTTGTGTTCATAAAGTGGAAGAAAATTAAATATTAAATTATAAAATGCACGCATATACTATAATTTAATACATAATAAAAATGAAAAGAAAAAAAATGAAAGAACAGAATTAAATAAACGACAGCAAAATTAAGCAGTCTCTCGCTCTGGCTTGCTTTTCTTATTCATTTTTGCCTGTACCGAGCTCCCTCTCATTCTCTCTCTCAGTCTAACAACACGTTCACTTCAAGCAAACTCGAAAACAGACGCATACATTTCTATATCCGCTATATTTATCAGCAACATGATCAGGCTTTGATTATGTCTGCAGAGGAGTTGATGGAAGGCGTAAAGTTTCTAGCAAGGCTTTCCCTTAAAGCAGCCAAGTGAACCAGAAAATCGAGTGAGCCTGGTCACAAATGTTCCTGGTTTCGATTTCATCACGTGAAACCTTGAGATCCGCCTGCTTGAAGTGATGGGGCTCCCGGATTGAACAAAGAATGCTCCGTTCATCATGAGATCGTTGTCAGATCTCCAATTCCAATTCTTCCACTCGCTCTCTACTGCGTAATCCCTCTTGGTCACCTGCATAAAAGTACGTTACGTTAAACAATTGATTAGCATGAAGAAAATTCAATTGATCTCCAAGCATTTGGAAGAAAAAAAAAAAAACTACCTGAAGGGCACTATAATATCTGCTTATTTACATACCTCCTTAGCAAAAGTGTTACCAGGAGCAATAAATCGATTGCCCTGACTGACGATGGTAGGGTTGTGGCTTCCACCAATGGCGTACATCATCCAGTGGGTGTAGTCATTGTTGACCACGTGGAAGAAACCCCATCTGCACCTAGGCATCCTCTGAACCAATCCCTTACCAAAGTGATTGAATGAAACTGTAATTTGCATTATAGAATCACCCGAGTAGCTATCACTTGCACCGAACAACATCACCTGCATGAGAAATCATTGGTTATTATCAACCAGAGATATATTGAAATGAGGAAAACTTTAGTATTGGTTTAGATATGGCTAATATAACTAAATTGCATGTTATTTCAGGTAATGATCAGCTAATTGATACATTTGGCTAGTGATACTCTGCAGAATAAGTAAGGAACAAACTAATTAAGAGTTGATTTAGTAAATAGCTAAAGTCATTTAATAAGGTGATTGTCTTCCTTATTTTCCAGATTACATCCTAATTAAGAGTCAAATACTACAAGATAAGGAATTTAAGTCCCATGTTACCTCATTGTGGCGAGTGAAATGGCTGTTGGAAATGGTGATGGCATTTGATCCCATGATGACATCGATAAGCCCGTCTTGGCAGTTGGACATGGAAACGTGATCGATCCAAATGTTAGAGGATCCAAAGATAGAAATCCCATCTCCATCGCTTTTAGTTCTGAATCCATAGTGGTCTACAGAATCCCTGATGAGTCCACCACTTCCGCTAACGATGTCATGAATGCGAAGGCCATGAATGATCACATTTTGTGCAAATTGGAGAGTAATGCCAGCACCATAAGCAATATGAACTTTGAATCCCCTGGAATCAATGGTTTTGTTACTAGCTACCATCAGCTCCTGGTTGAGTCTGATTACCATACTGCCTGAAAAGATTATCCAAAGGGGTTCTTTTTGAATCACAGCATGGCGAAGGGTTCCAGGTTTGGGGTTAAGCATGTCATTGTCTGAGGCATCTGTCACAACGTAAATCTTTCCATACTTTCCCCCGACAGTTTTGTGGCCAAAGCCAAGGACGCAATCAGCTAACTTTTGTCGATGACTGGCCCAATTCGGGTCACACCGCCAGCATCGATCAATTGGGTTAGTGGCTATGCATCTTCCGCCTCTTTTCCTTACCAGGCTCCTTCTAGTGCTGTTGGTCTCCGTCAGGACCCTGAAAAAAGAAAGAAGACGTGGGAACCCTTTTTGCATGGCGTGTCTATGAGCTTGGACTTAATTTGTCGTATTAGTTAAAGAAATTTTGATACTTAATTCAATCAGACTCACTTGTTAACCTGGAAGTTAAACTGGCTGGTGACGTTCAAGGGATCCGGGTAGAAAGCCTCCTGGGCGGCTTTACGGGCTTCATCGGCTTTCTTCTTCCAGTATTCATCGAATTCACCAATGTGGCCTTGCAGAGTTGGAACGAATACCGCAAGTGACACAAAAAGGGAGAAGAAAAGGAAATGGCCATTGAGAGTTCGCATTCTTCTTGTATATGTAGGAGATCCCCCCTTTCTGCTCTCCTTAATTAATTTATTGTTTGCAAGACGTAGTTTCCCACGTGAAGCCTGGGTCCTAAGAGCAGCCAGCTACAACCTGTTTCGGCGAGCTGAGACAGGACCAAGTATATTTCTTTCCCGATCGGATCAGAGTTAAATAGTCTTTTATGAATGGGATTTCTTGTCGTCCTCGCTCAACTAAATTTAGGATCTGAAACAATAGAGGTCATTAAGGTTGAGTTTGGAGACAAATAAGGCTGGCATTTTGGAGAACCACTTCTGTAGAAACGATAATAGTATATTAATATCTAAATTAACACTGTCTCTTAACTCTCCTATTTCCATGGTATGTATTTTCCATAGCCAAATTTCTAGAGGTTTTGCATCCAGATGAATTTCTTGGCTTTTTTAGTATCTTGATTAATATTGTATGATATATGATTCAAAAGCGTTGAGCAGTTATAAGCAGCGGCAGAAGGTCGGAAACTAAACTTGGAGAAAGTCTGTAGTTGAGTCAATATCTGTGTCTACAATCCTCTGATCTTAATTAGGGACTAAATTACTTGTTATATAGAAGTTCTAAGCCATACTTTAGAGACTCATTGAATATATAAATCTATACACAAGAACTTATTATTATTTTTTTATTGGTTACTATATATCTCACATTAAAATTTAATATATAAAATAAATATTTTATTTTTTTAATATAAGATAGAAAGCTCATTATATACTTTACATTTATATATAAAAAAAATCTCAGGATAAAAATCTTTTAAAATATTCTCCATTATTTACAATTTCGAAAATTAATAAACAAATTAACTTTTCTGAAGCAACTGGTTAGGTGTTGGCACCTTTCTCCACGAGTTCCTGGAATAGTGATCATGACGAAGTCTAAACAAGGGGCTTTCTAAAGACCCCCGGTGGCGTTTCATGCGATTATGGAACCCTGCAGTATTTTTAGTCAGGTCAGGGGCCGATATTCTATCATAAAGAATGGTTGGTGGAAAAAATTGCATTTTATTAGCCAAGCGGCTTTGCTGCACACTTGGTTTAAAAACTTTCACCATTGATTCTGATTGCCCGTATTTTTGTTTCAGATTCATTGACTGAGTTTTAATTTATTTTTTATTAAAATTTAAAATTTTTTAATTTAATTTAATTTTTAGTATTTTCAAATTATATTTTATTAGCTAATTTACTAGTTATTGCCAGTGTTCACCGCTATTCAATTAGATTCATTTAGTTTTGTTGACGACTGGGTTTTAACCGGTATTTAATTAGATTCATCTAATTTTGTTGATGACTAAATTTTAATCCATTTTTTATTAAAATTTAATTTTAAATTTAATTTTTAAATTATTTTGATGTAATAATATAAAAATAAATTTTAAAAAATAAAAAAATATTATTTTAATATTTGTCTAAATAAAAATATATTTTAAAAAGTAATTGATACCCCACCCTTTAAATATTCTCAATTTCTATGTCTAGCATTGGAAGGAGAAGACTCTTGGAAAAGATTTCAAGTACGTATTCGTCCATGCATTGATTTAAAATGTTTAATCAAGTTACTTCATTTGCTAATTAGAACATTGTCGATCCTAAAAAAAACTCTTCATTTCTTCTTTCTCGTTGAATAGTATTGGCAATCAGAGTAAGAGTTTTTCTTCTTATCGTGAGAGCTTCCGATTTAATGTTTGTTTAAGATTATACAAAATTATATTATAAAAAATAGTTTTCAAAATAGTTTTTTACTTGAAATATATCAAAAAACAAATATCAATGCATTATAATCATGAAAAAATATATATTAAAAAACATTAATGCAACCCTAAACACCCGCTCGTTACACTACTTTAATGATTTGGTCAACATCCACCGTCGATCATAGCATGAAAATCAAATTTAAAGTCAAATAATTACTAACTAATTCAAATATAGAGATGCTATTTTTTTAAGAGTAAAATTGATGAAATGACATTATAAATAGTATAAATGACTTTTTTATATAATATATAATTTAATGGAGAAAAAAACCATTTGAAAAAGTTAATTGGGTTGAAGTGAGAGAAATAAATGCCTTATTTTTTTTTCTATGACTATATTTAATTAATTAATTTTATTATTAGCTCTACTTTGTTGGTCTTGTGTTTTTTTTTTCTAAATATGTATAAATGGTATTTTTGGGAGAAAAAATACATTTTAGTATTTTATTTATCATAACGATTGTAACATGCAAAACAGGCATTGAAGAGCCAATATATATATATATGGGTTTCTATGTAGAACACCTACTGGAGTTGCTCTTACAATTGAACATTCAAAGTTTTAATTACGTGATTATGTGGCAATTGACTATAGTTGAGTACACTTTTGCAGAATTTTGAATTCTTATATTTGAAAGCATTTTTTAATAATAGACAAATTAAATTAAAATGAGGAAAAATAAATCAAAACCTTAAATCTATGTAATAATATAGGTCTTAATGGATTGGCCCAACACCAAACCCAGCCCACTGACAAACTTTGTTGATTAATTATCTATGTATAGCACAATATTTAAATTCCGACCTTAGCTCAGTTGGCAGAGCGGAGGACTGTAGTGGTGACTGTAATCCTTAGGTCGCTGGTTCGAATCCGGCAGGTCGGACAGTCATTTTAAAACCCTGATTGCAGGAATAAGGTGTAGTTTGGAAGGTTTAAACTTTAAACAGCATTTAAAAATTATTAATAATAATTTTTATTTAAAATATTTTTTATGTTTCTTAAATTGATTAGGAATAAAAAAATATTTAAGCTTTTTTTGAATATATGTATATATATAACTTAATAAAGACTTGCAGCATCATTTATACTTTTTTTGCTTTTTCTAAGAGATGTTTATAGTGTCTTTCAATATTCAATAATAAAATTATAATCATATATTGTTTTCATATATATATATACACTATGTATACTAAATTTAGAGTAACAAATGAAGTAAAACCAAAGTACTCAAAGTAAAAAATAAAGTAAAAAAACACTTGTTTTTATAGTGAAATTTATGTTAAATATATAAGCATAAAACTATGGATATAATAAGAAAATTAGACGAATAAACTGTGTAGAAATATTTTTTATGTATATGATTTCTCTTTTAGTCGTTGAAAGTAAAAAAATCATGCTGCTAGATACAAGCAACGTTATTTGTTTCTTTTTCCATGGTTATATTTATGGAAATATATATTAACGAAAAACATTTTCTTATCTTTTTATTTAATCGCTAAAAATCAATAGTTCTTGTTTTGTTTTGTTATTTTCATGTCTATAAAACACATATTTACTTGATTTAGAAAACCTCATAATATATTATCATAAAAACAAATAAAAGCCAAATCTCTAATTCTAATTGAAAACGACTTGTTGCATCTAGTTTCTTGTATTGTTTATATATATATA